CCAAGAAAATGATAAGTTTATAAGTGTTAAGTTTCAAAAGTAAATAAAGTACAGTTAGTTATTCACATTTCGTCAAAAACGGTTCAGAAACCATACTGTGAATTATGAATATTGTTTTGTAACAGATAAAAATTTATGTAAATGATTTTAGAAAAATAAAAATATGTTTGTAGCTTGAAGTTAGTTCCGGGTCAATTTAAGTTAAAATACGCGATAGAAAAAACATCCGATGAAAGGGGCCACATGTGCCTATATAGCCTTGTCACTTAAATGAAACACTATTCATTTCAGATTTTCTTCTTCTCTCTCATGCATGGCCGAGCTGCACTTGGAGGAGAAGGGGCTAGGGTTCCAAATTTCCTTTCTTTGATTTCTTAATCATCCATTCTCCAAATTCAAAGACCCACCACATGAAATTGATTGGAAACCACTCAATGAATCCATTCCACCAATCAATTTGAGCTATAGTTGAGTGTGTGAGGAGTTTTTCCTTCCCCCATTTTCGAGCTACTATTCATCAAGGAGGAGAAATGACATTTTTGGTGGAGCTTTGCTTGGTGAAGGCCTTCTAGGCTTTGGGTAGTTCATTGGAGGTAACAAAACTCTAACCTTATGGCTTTATTAGTGTGAATAATGTTTTGAAAGTCATGAGCATGGTTGGGTAGGAAATAAAGTAGTATAGAATGTGAAAATTATGATGGATTATTGTTATTTAGGAAGTTATAGTGTTGAGTAAGTATCCACATGTGATAAAATAATTGAAAAGCCCTATTGTATTTTCCCCCTAGGTTTCGGCCTTCATGGGTTATATAGGGTTCATTATGCAAATTTTTATTGTATGTTTGAAAAGGTAAAATATGTTGGAATGTAGTGTAAATGGATGAATTGGTGGAAATGCCAAAGTTAGAAAAAAATCCTACAAATACTTGCTCTATGTTTCGAACTATAGGATGTTTAGGGGTATATATATATATATTGGTTACATTTTATTCTAATAAAATGTGTTGCATTTTAATATACCAATGGATGAGCTAAGAAGTGAAATGCTTTGACAAATGGTTGAAAAATACCTTGAGTCCCTAAGGGTATGCCCGCGACTTTTAAAGAAAAATAGCATGATTTATGTGAAAAATTCTTAAGTAAATGCTTGGTTAAATTAAAGAACGCCAACGGGTGTATAGAGGTCTAGACTTGTGTATTGGCATAGAATTGGCAAAAATATAAAGAAAGGAAAATAAGCGATAAAATGTATACTTATGAAATAATCATGGTATTGCATCATTTTATTGATGCATTGTAAATTATTCTCTAGGTGTGCCTAGAGATTGAGAAGGATCGAAAATCTCTTGAAGCGATAAAAGTAACTTGTTCCACAAGTAAGCGTATTGGTAAAGCTTCAAGAGGTAAGCTCTATGTTTAAGGAGTCTTTTCCTGCTTGAGTGCTCCACCATGGTTAGTGAACATGGTTGGACTGTATGACTGTGATTTAGATGCTTTGTATAGATGCATTCATATAGAGTTATTTGATAACATGATATGTTTTGCTCTGATATGACTTCTGTAATATGATTTCTGTAACAATCTCTGGCCATTGATTGTACAGTACCCGGACGTCCGCTTTGGGGTCCTCCCTCGGGACTGATGGTGTACGCCTCTGATATGTCTGGTTCCGCTTTGGGGTCCTCCCTCGGGAACACGTGCGTTGATTTCCGCTTGGGGTCCTCCCTTGGGAATGACGGCGCACATCTCTGATATGATATGGATATATGCTCTGTTCTGTTATGATATCTGTTATATGTTGTATTTGTATACTCCGTATCTGACTTTCATGCAGGAGTGAGCCAGGGGTATGGAGAATTCTCTATAAACCTGGAGCTTATTGAGATTTATAATCTCACCCCTCTTTGGGGACATATTTTCAGGTGCCCAGATTCCCGGTGAGTCCTCACTAGGCAGGGACACGACACGTGGCTGAGGCAGTTGACAGATCGGATTTTGAGTGGCTGTAGGCTACTACCTTTTGGAGTGTTTGATGTCTTTTAGTATTTCCGCATTTGATGGATCACGATATTGATCCTTTATTTTGTATATGGCCTGTATATGTTTTGTACATGTCTGTCACTTGGATGCATGTACATTTGGGTATTCAGGCACGTCATATGATGATGTATTATTCAGTTTATGATTTCGTATTGGATTGCATGTTGATTAGGATAGGGGCACGGAGCCATATTTTGCATGCGCCCATGGATGGGTATCTGATTGTATCTGCATGACTGGTACTTCTGGATTACTATGCTCTATAAACTGTTTATCAGGAAATGCTTCTGAGAGGGATTGGAAAATCCCCGGTTGTCCGATTTATAGAGGAAACTCTGCCCGATTTTCGTTTACCCCAAGTAAGAATTAAAGTAGAAAAAGAAAAAGTTAACTCGTATCTTCGTAAGTTAAGTCTTCCGCTGTTTTCTGTTTTATCATATGTATGTTAATTAAACCGGCTCGAGACGGGGATGTTACATGTATCCTCACTTCCACACTTTAATTATTTTTTATTTTATTTTAAAAGTGCATTTTCTTTAAATAATCATGGTTGCACTTGGATGAACTGGTGGGTAGAGGTGTGCAAAAAAACTGGTTCACTTGCCCTGCCCTTGATCCGACCTTGACCCGACCCATAAATACTCATATTTTTTGAACTGGTTTAAATACTGACCCACTTTTATTTGGGTCAGTTTTAGACCTTACTCGTTTTAATATTGACCCACTAACCCAAAACTTGACCCATACCCATTATGTGAAAAAAAATCACAATTACATTAAAAGAAAAGGTTTAACGTAAAACAATTACGTCAAAAATTTTTATGGAAAATATTTTCATAAAAATTTTCGCAAAATTTTTTTACGAAAAATATTTTCATCAAAATTTGTAACTAAAAACATATCGGTAAAAAAATTTGACGGAATATTTTTTTTGTCAAATTTTTTTACGGAATCTAAATTTCGTCAAAATATTTCACAAAAAAATATATTCATAAAAACTTTCGACGAAACACATTTTCATCGGAATTCTTTGACGGAAAAAATTTTCATCAAAATTCTTTACAGATTTCAAATTTCGGCGAAAGTTTTCGAAAGAAACATTTTCGTTAAACTTTTTGACAAAAAAAAATTTCGTCGAAATTTTTAGCGAAACACAATTCTATCAAAATTTTTTGACTAAATACTTTCGTCAAGTTTTTTGATAAAGAATATATCCATCAAAATTTTCAACGGAACACATTTCTGTAAAAAAAATTCGTAAATTTTTTTGACAAAAATATTGCGATAAGAAATTTTGACAGAAAAAATATTTTGTCTAAATTTCGTCGAAAGTTTCAAATGAAACATTTTCCTCAAAACAATTCCATTGAAAATTTCGACGAAACACATTTCCATCAAAAAATCTCGACGGCAAAAAATTTCATTAAAATTCTTTACAAATTTCAAATTTCGGCGAAAGTTTTCGGCGAAAATATTTTCGTCATCAAAAAATTTTGACGGCAAAAAATTTCATCAAAATTCTTTACAGATTTCAAATTTTGGCGAAAGTTTTCGACGGAAACATTTTCGTCATCAAAAAATTTTGACGGCAGAAAATATCGACGACAAAAAATTTCATCAAAATTCTTTACAGATTTCAAATTTTGGCGAAAGTTTTCGACAAAAATATTTTCGTCATCAAAAAATTTTGACGGCAAAAAATTTCATCAAAATTCTTTACAAATTTCAAATTTTGACGAAAGTTTTCGACGGAAACATTTTCGACATCAACAAATTTTGACGGCAAAAAAATTTATCAAAATTCTTTACAGATTTCAAATTTCGGCGAAAGTTTTCAACGAAAAAATTTTTGTTAAATTTTTTGACAAAAAAAAATTTTCGTCGAAATTTTTAGTGAAACACATTTCCATTGAAAATTTTCAACTAAATATTTTCGTCAAGTTTTTTGATAAAAATTTTCCATCAAAATTTTCAACGAAACACATTTCTATAAAAAAATTTCGTAAATTTTTTTGACAAAAACATTTTGACGAAAAAAATATTCTGTCAAAATTCTTTAGAGAATCTAAATTTCGTCGAAAGTTTCAAATGAAACATTTCCCTCGAAATAATTTCCGTCAAAATTTTCGTCAGAACACATTCCCATTGAAATTTTGAACGAAAAATATTCCGTCAAATTTTTTCTCAAAATTCTTCTTTCGTTTAAAACATTTGATGGAAGAAATTATTTTCGTCAAAACTGTTGACGGAAACTAAAGTTCAATAGATTTTTTTTTTTATAAAAATTTTGTCGAAAAATTAATTTTGTGACGAAATTTTCGTCTTTTGCAATGTAAAAATTTTGACAAAATTTTGTGAGAAAACCAAGTCAAAAACGGGTCAGGTCAGATTTGACCCAGTTCAGAAACCAAGTCAGACTCCTTTCAGAAACCAAGTCAGGTCAGATCCAAACTGGTTCTGAACTAGTTCAACAAAATCCAATCCAAGTCAGACCTGACTTGGATCAAATTAAAGCGAGTCGGATCAAAATACCTGACCCATAAAAACCAAGTTAGGTCGAGTCGGACAAAAACCTGACCCGACCTGACCCATGCACAGCCTACTGGCGGGAGTTATTCCAACTCAACCATTTGTGACCCTACTTGACTCGAATCCAAAGTAATCCGCATTTGTTCACGGTCGGATACCGGATAATTTATTAAAAATAAAAAATGACAAAACAACTATAAAATGAGCATGAATGAAGAGAAAAAAGAGAGAGAAAGAAAGTAGGAAACGTGTTAAAGAGGTAGCATAGGAATGAATACACTAGCCTCAAATGGCTTTGAACGTGTCTTGCATGCAAATAGGCCATGTATGTCACCAAGCTCCTATATGTTCGCGTAACCATAAAGGGTCTTTGGTGTATTATAATAAGATACCACAAAAAAACAAAACACCATCTTAGAGAGTATTGAAAAATGGCACAAGCAGTTCTGCCACATGAACCAAAGACACAGTCGTTTAAACTGTTGAATGGTCATGCCATACCAGCTGTTGGATTAGGCACATGGAAATCTGGTTCACAAGCCACTAATTCTGTTTTCACTGCCATTGTTGAGGTAATTACACTGCCTCCTTGTCCCTGATCCAATTGCTTCACTTTTAAGTTTGTTTTTTTGTTTGTTTGTGCATTGTTCATTGATGAATAAAGTTTTTCGAGAAAATGAAAATCTGTTGTGTGTTATTTAAATTGACAAAGCTTATTCATCCCATGAATGTATTTATTATGTGTTGCAATCTATGGATTATGTAGACAGAAGAAATGAAGGCACCAAAAACAAACCTATTAAACTTATGCAGAGAAGATGAAAACAAGAAAGTGGAGAACTACTTTGAAAATAAATAAGAATGATTGCATTAAATTTCTTTCATTAAGTTACTCTGTGCTTAATCCATTATTATTTTTTCTGTATCTTTCATTACCATACTGTATTTTTGTGGAACAGATCAGCGTTAGTGCTGTAAATTCCAAGAATAATTTTTTTCAGATTTTAATAATATTTCTGAGGTTCAATCCATTTTTTTTTTCTTTGCTTGTCCAATAGATACAATGCTCCCTTCATATTTTTCATATCATTGAGGATGATGAGTTTCTCACTTTATTCTTCTTGGATTGTTGATCTTATTCTTATTTAATGGCTCTGATTTATTAGATATATGAGTGATTCGATATAAGCGGATCAATGATAAGATTGAGGGTAGGACTTCAACTTGCCCCATAAAAAAACTCTTGACAAACTTTTAGAATTAAAAAAAAAAAAAAAAAACTCACAAAACTGAACCTAAAGTAAGTTTGATTTTGTCACTCTTGTGGGGCTGAATCTTATATGATCTGAACTTTGGTTGCAGGCTGGTTACAGACACATAGACACTGCTTCCCAGTATGGAGTTCAAGACGAAGTATATTTGTGTTTCCTAAAAGTTTTTGTTAATTCAAAACCACACACTTTCCCTTTCTTGCTTGATCTAAATATCCATCTAACTTATAGGTTGGACATGCACTTCAATCTGCCATGCAAGCAGGAGTGGAAAGGAAGGATCTCTTTGTCACCTCCAAGCTATGGTAATGTAATTGTTACATGATAGATATACTTCATATTAACTTGTTAGAAATATACTATAGAAAAACATTGTCTTCATGAATTGTTTTTATATATTATATTTCTAAGATCACTTTAGCTCATTATGTCAGATTCAATTGAATGTGTTGTTTTGACATTTGAATGAAACTCTTATGATGTTGAGTGTGTGAAATTTTATACCTTCTAGGTGCACTGATTTGACCCCTGAAAGGGTTCGACCTGCCCTCAACAATACCCTTCAAGAACTCCAACTTGACTACCTTGATCTTTACTTGGTAATAACCTTCTATTATGCTTAAAATGCACCTTTCTTTTCTACTTTTTCAACTCACAATGCATGTTATTTGATATGTGTAATTCCAATATATAAAATGCAGATTCATTGGCCATTTCGATTACAAGATGGGGCCAGCAGGCCTCCCAAAGAAGGAGAAGTGTTAGACTTCGACATGGAAGGAGTGTGGAGAGAAATGGAGAATCTTGTCAAGGAAAACCTCGTTAAAGACATTGGAATCTGCAATTTCACTCTTAAAAAGCTTGATAAGCTACTAAGCATTGCTCAAATAATGCCTTGTGTTTGCCAGGTGAAATTATATATAGAGAAAGATTTAATGTCTCTTAAGTACAAGTTTACTTTAATTTCTTTTATCTTGGAAGGACCAATCTCAATGGTTTACGAATTTGGTGATGGCATAACACATGTTTATCCTTAACTTCTGTATTTGATATGTTGTTATAGATGGAGATGCATCCTGGGTGGAGAAATGTTAAGATGCTTGAGGCTTGCAAGAAGAATGGCATCCATGTCACTGTAATTAGCATTGCTATTTTGATTTTTTTTTTCATTGTCTTTATGATTTTTTGTGATAGAGGATCATGATTGTAATGCCAAAATTGCTTTATAGGCTTACTCTCCACTGGGCTCATCAGATGGTGGGAGAGATCTGATCCATGATCAAACGGTTGATAGGATAGCCAAGAAGCTGAACAAGAACCCAGGGCAGGTTTTGGTGAAGTGGGCCATCCAGAGAGGGACAAGTGTCATTCCCAAATCAACCAAGCCACAGAGGATCAGAGAGAATGTCAGTGTTTTCAATTGGGAAATTCCAGAACAAGACTACAAAGCCCTTAGCAATATACCAGATCAGGTAGGCACATAACCTTAATTGTGTATTCAGAACTATTAGGACATTATAGTTATTAAAGTGACATTCATTTGGCAGCCTGAGCTTCTAGGTATAATTGTTTAAGGGAAAAACTACTCTTATGCTACATGTGATAACTTTCTCTCCTACACACTCTTCGATAACTGTGCCACCTTTTTTTTTTTTTTTATTATATTTTTCAGGTAGTAGAGCCCACAAATTTATCTCCATGACATGAGATAACTTATCTCCTTTAATATGAGATTAATAAAACCTATTGTTTAATATATCAAATGGTCACGAGTTCAATCTTCACTATCACCCCTCCAATTTAAGGGGTGAAAATGTTTTATCTATGCTAAAAACATTACTAGTGTCACATGGAGTTGAATTTGCATGGAAAAATTGTCTTCTATATCTCTCTTAAACTGTCATAAGGCAAGGATTAAAATCTTACACACTACTTGTACTTTTGTGTCCTTGAACTCATCATAACTACGTGCATCTTTCCTTGGTTATTGATACATGCAGAGGAGAGTTCTTGATGGTGAAGACCTCTTTGTGAACAAGAGCGCAGGGCCATTGAGGAGTGTGGAAGATATCTGGGACCATGAAGATTAGCCCAAACTTGCATCTAGCTACTTTGTTTTATCTATTTTTTTGAGGCACTAAGTGGCAATAGATTAATGTACTAGTAGTTCTTTAAAAAAAGGTTCAGATTGTGCACATTGAAGTGCAAGCAATCTGTATGCAGATATCTTATCCATAAACTGCTAAATTGTTTCATTACTTGTCTACTACTGATTAGCATGGACGATGATTCTGATTTTATGAATAAAGTTGGAATTGGTGAGAGGTTGAGAAGCTTGAGAATCATATGATACCCATAAAATTGTTATGCCTGCTCTCTGTGATTTTCTTTTGGGAAAATTTCTTAGGTGCACATTAATAATCCAGGAAATTTACAAATTTTAAGGATTTATTTAATTTAAGCTTTCTAATGTTCCTAATGGTTTCGTGGTAGAATAGAAAAATAGAATTGTAGATATTCAAACGTAGATATGCAATCACAGGCATAATTTGGAACCAAAAAATAACTGCAATTTGAATATATGCTAAAAGTCACCCTTCAGAATAAAACATCAATCTATAAAACGGATGAGACATAAATTTTGCTATTGATGATAGGCTAGTGGAAAATAATTAGTTAATGGTGAAGTTTGTGACAAAATTAATATGATTTTTTATATATACACTTTCATATAAAACTCATTGAATTTTTCACTCTCATTTTTAAGGGGACACCAATATGATCCTAAAATCTTCAAACCCTCCTTTTCCACCTAAACATAAAACTTGAGTTCCAATCTGTGACCACTTCTTAACTTTTCAGAAGATCCTGTGTTAGTGAACCTTAACTCCCTTTAAGGTACTTAGATGATTGCCTTCTACTCATATTCCTAGCAAGCCGTGGAAGTTTTGATATAGAGTTGGCTCTAGCTAACCCTCCAAGTGCTGTCCATTCTTCATTGAGATCTACCCCAACCTTGCCATCCACAGTTTCAGTGTCTTCATTTCTAGTGGATTTAGAGATATGCAAGCGCTTGCTGTGATGTCTATTTCTTCTGCTCATACTGGATTGAGAATGGGATAAAACAGGTTGATCATCCAGAAACAAGCATATGACTGCACAATCATCAATCTTGGAACCAGGATACTTGTATTTCCAGGCTTTGACAGCACGCTTTACTAACAATTTGGCTGCCATTGATCTCCTTGGTGCTGAAGCAACTATATTTATTACTTCATTGTTAGTAAGCACATCCCAAACCTGTAAAAGAAAAAGAAAAGTTTGGTCCTTCAGCTAGATGCTTGTAAAAGTAATTTAGTGAAAAACTTATTTCATTTCTTGCGTGAATTGATTAAATGTTTGCATTATGTATTCGGATTGAAAAGAGGGTGAGCCTTGAAGCAGCGGTAAGGTTGTTCTGTATGACCAAAAGTTCACAAGTTCGAGTCTGGGAAATAGTCTTTTTGCAAAAATATAAGGATAAGGCTGCGTACAATCGACCCCCACCCCTACCCTCACAATTGGGGGAGCCTTGTGCACCCGAGTTTGCCTTTCACCCATTATGTATTTGGATTAAAACACAGTAACAACAACCAATAAACAATGTTTGTTAAGTTGACATTCTAATACTACTTACCCCATCAGTTGCCAAAACCACAAATTCATCTTGATTGGAAAGTTTTCTATAAAATACATCAGGAGCTGAGATGAGGCCATAATCTTTCAGGCAAAAGTCTCCAAAGGCTCTTGACATAGCTAGTCCAGGGCAGTCTTCATCAGGCATCCATAATCTGTATACATCTGGTTCTTCTTCGGCTGCGAAAACTCTGCCTTCACAGTTAATGATTCTTGAAGCTTCACCTGAGAGACATTGAAGAAGAAAAGTTAATTAAACTTAGATTTGATAGGCTTGTAAGACTTAGGAACTAAGGCCAAGACCAAGACCAAGACCTACTTGGAATATCTGGTTTCAAGTCCACAGTAAGTTGAACAGGAATAAGTTGGTTTCCTTCCCTTGTGCAAAGAACAGCACGAGAATCACCCAAATTTCCAACTATAAGCTGGTCACCCTGAAATTTTAGAGGGAAAAGTGAAGTGTGTAGTTATTTCTATCTCATTAAAGTATATGAAAAGGTATCACCAAAAAAAGTATATGAAAAGGAGGTAAATGCTATTATGAATATATAGTTATATGGTTACCATACCTGTTTAATTAAAGTAACAGCAGTGCAACCACTGCAATAGCTGTCAGTGTTAATTTCTTGAGCAAGGTGATCATCCATCTCATCAAAGGTCTTCAGAAAGCATGCCTCCCATGAAGCAAGGGACATGTTGTTGTAATTCTCATCATAGGCATCATCAGTGTCTGCATCATTAGCATCATAATATTTGCAGGCCTTCTGTTGTGACATTTTGATTGCTGCAGATAGTTTTGAGGGTAGATTGTCACGAATAAATTGTGAAACCTTGTGGCCTAGAGGACCATGACCATCAAACACCCCACAAAGGATCGTATCTTTTTCTCCAGTGAAGTCCTGATAATATAGCATATATACAACATTAATCCAAGTCACATGTTTCATCAATTAAGAAGCATCATGCTATAATAAAGACAATAGGATAGAGTCACCCGATTCTAACATTTCTAGAACCATAAATCTAAAGAAGAGAATATCAAGCACAGAGATGGCTATTAAAGACCCGAGGCAAGGACAATGCAAATGCAAATGTTCCCTCATTTTTCTTTTTAAACTTTTATCCTCTTCAAATATCATCTTAATATTTGGCTTAAAACAATAAATTATTATTATGAATGGTCGAAAGATATGATGGACAAAGTGCAGACAAGGATGTAATTCAAACAGGCTTCAAATCCATACCTGGCAAGTGGCAATGAATTGTCATGTTTTTTTATTCAAATAAAAAATTGGAGAAGATACAGAACATGGGTAATCAAGTCATTGATAAGAAAATTAATGAGGAGAAAACCAAATAAATAACATGAAAAAACAAAGAAAACAAAGAGGAAGAAAAAGTGGGGAACAAACCAGCTCATAATTGCATGAACAGACAACTAATACAAGAAACAACGTTCTTTTGATAATCTTATCCTTTAAATTCACCAAAAGTGATGATTAATGAAATGAAAAAAGAAAAAGAAAACAGCTATATTACAAGCCACAAGAATTGATTAAAAACTTAAAACAAACAAAAAAAGTCAAATCAAAAGAATTAAACAATCAAAATTAATGGAAATAAATCGAGAAAAATAAAAAATAAAAATATGTAAACATATACATATTGAAGAATCTTACCTCCCAAACTGCCATTGCATCTTGGTTCACACCTTTCTTTCCTTGTTGGGTGTACATTGACACAAACCTAGAGGAACCTCTTAACCTTATCATTGCTCCATCTTGTTCATATGAGACATCATTCTCATGATCATACTCATATGAGACATCATCCACCTCGCTTTCCACCTTGCCTCGAACCGAAACATCATGGCTGCAACAGCTTCCCATGTCTGGAAGCCAAACAACAACAATTTACAATGAAAAAAAAGAACAAGGGTACCCCACAAAATTCCAGCGAATACCCAGAAGATTTTCTGGTAAAAACAAACGAGAAAGTGAAGAAAAATGGAATTTTTCTAGAGGAAGCGATGGAGGGTCAGAATTCAGAAAGATGCAAAGGCGTTGGAAGGTAATGAAAAAATGAATAAAGAGGTTAAAGAGAAGGTGGGTATGGCCAAATATGCATGCAAGGAAGAGTTTTAACAAACACAAAAGGGAAAAAAGGTTGTCATGTTTAGAGAAAAGGTTGAAACTTTGCACATTATTGTCTGTATCTTAGGTGGTTTCGTTAGTTGTCTGTTTTTTTTCCCGGTTGGCAAAAGTCAAAGTCTAAAAAAGAAAAAAAAATTAAAAAAAACTAATTTTTAAAATTAAATAGATAAAATAAATGAGAATATTATATTTATCAATTTTTTATTTATAAATTACACTAGGTACCGGTAGTACACTAGATTAGGCTATGTAATTTACAAAAATTTGTAAAAAAAAAAAAATTATACACGAAGTCTTCCTCTAAAATAAATCACGTTTATAGTAATAAATTTTTTTGTAAAAGTCAGATAAATAATTGAATACTTACTACGAGAAGTGCCTATATATAGCTTAGGAAATTTAAGCCTATATCTAGCGATGAATAAAAAAATAAAATCATTATAATATATTATGATAAAATAGAGTAAATTTTCATTTTATTATTTAGAAAATTGATTGAATGGTAAAGAAACTAATGAAAAATAAAGTGATTTTATTCTATTCTGTTTTATATCCTTAAAGGAAAGAAAAATAAATGTATTGAATGGTTTGAAATGAAATATATATTCAATTACGTTTTATTTCATTCCATTTTAAAACGATTCAAATACATGTCAATTAATACGATGCTATTTCATTATTATCTTTATCTATCAAGTCAAACTTGTGCTAAAACTCTGGGTCTAATAAAACACCTTGTACACTTAAGGATTACTTTTATGAAAAGAAAAAATCAAGTAACAAAAAAAAGTTACAAGCAATGACGGTTATTTTTCTCTAATGAAAAATCTATATTATATATATATATATATATATATATATATATATATAAATGAATTAATTTCTCAATTTTTATCTAATTTAATTTAGTTTAATTCTATAACACTACTTAATTATATTAAATTTAAAATAATTAAATTAGTTTTGATTATTTTCGGTTAATTCAGTTTATATTAATTTGAATTATTTTAGAATAATTAATTTTATTTTTAGGTATGTTAACTAAAATAATTTAATGTAGTTTGTGTTATTTTAAAATTTTGTGAACTGTTACGTTACTTAATTTAATCAAGGGTTGTTAATTAATGTAATATATTTTATGTTTGTTAACTGAAATAGTTTAATTTAATCAATATTAATTTAAATTGATCATAACGATTAATTATTTATGTTATAACTATTAATTACTTATTTTTTGGATTATTAATTATTTTATTTTAACTAGCAATATGTTAAGTTAAATTATTTGTAAATGTTAAGTAATTAAATTTAGGAGTGTTAAATTAATGTTATTTAATTTCATTTAAATGACACGTGTCACACATACATGTAACCAGCTGTTCAACCCACGTAAGACGCCACGTAGTCCAGCGCTTTAGGTCACGTGGCAGATGATGACAGGGGTTGTCTGCCACGTAATCTAACTGCACTGCACAGCTAGTTATGTGGCCAACCAGGTGTTACCGCGTGGCCAATCTTAACTCGCCACGTGACATAGCGAGACTGATGACGTGACATTTTGATAAAAAAATTTTGAGACGTGGCATTCTGATAATATTTTAGGTAAACAATAACAATTTGATCGTTGTCCCCATTGTCAAATCCTTCGTATCAGATCAATTTCACTCATCTGGTACAAAGGATCAAATATTGTCTTAGTCAATATTGAAATATCCAACTAAAACACATTGACAGGGAAAGAAACTATAATGCTAAGTGGCTCGAGAATATTTTAGAGTATTGATCCCTATTATAGAATCCTCCTTTATGACCAACTTCCTTGCTCTCTTGCTATAAGCATATTCCAAGCCTTAAAAAGAAGCCCCAAATTTTAGCTTCATGAGGTTTAACGTTCCTTTTAATACTAAAAAAAAATTAATCCTAATTTTGATCTTGCCAATCTGTGCTTCAGGAGATCACTCATTAAAGAGTATTTAATTTTTTTAAAAATGTTTTTAACTATTTCATCTATTTTTAAATAGTTATCAAGTAAGAAGTTTCATTTTATTTCAGATTATATGTCACTTTAAAATATTAAAATGCACTAATTATATTTTTTTTAATATTGTATCTTTATATGTTCTTAGTATTTCCATTAATGAAATTAGAGCGATTAAAGTGAAAGGATAATTTATGAAATGTAATTATATTTTTCTAAAATTAAGGATATTAAATAAATTTCTTATTCTTCATTAAAAATTTAAACGATAATAAAATTGAAAAAATAAATAAATAAAAAAAGATTTTTTTTTAGGTATCCAAACCTGAATTAAAAAAAGAGTTTACTAACAAGTGTCATAGATGCACCAGGGAATGAATTAAAAATAGTAAACAATAAAGAATTAAAGATAAATCACAAAATTTATATCACAAAAGAGTTGGCTAAGTTTGGTCCATACCCCACAAGAGCATGAGTTTCAAATCTTGCTAGCCAATGTGAGAACTTTATTAATGGATGATATGTAATTTATTTTGAAAATTCTCAAAAAAGTTGGGGGTCTTCCCAATCCTAGTGGAATATGGGTGTCTAACCTCATTTAAACTTTTATCTATCAAAAAATAAAATTCAAAAAATATTTAATCATTTATTTCTTAGGTTGTTAAAATTATTTTATGGTGAAATGATTTCTATTTCAAAGACAAAAACTTTTTATCTACCTCAGAGAGAAAAAATGGAGTGGAGTCCATCATGTTTATAGTTTCTCTCTCACATTTTTTTCTTTCCGCTGCTAACAAATGGTTTATGCCTTTCAAGCAGAAATTATTTCCCCTTATTATATAGGATTCGCTTTTTTAGGTTATTATAGTCTTTATAATTATAATTTTCTAATCTTTCAATCTTAAACGACATTGTTTTAAAAATAAATGCAAATAATTTATCTGCGCAGAAATATTTTTTTGTATTATATATTCTTTATCAAATACTCCTTAATTAGTGCTTCCAAATCACTTTTTATCAAAATTTATTTTAAAAAGTACTAATTATTATTATTTTAATTTATACATAAAGTAGAATAAATCTTTTTTATTTAATATTTTTATTTAACCCTTAAAGCAATTCCCTTCTAATTTTAACCAAATGTGTTACTTTGTCCCACACACGAGTCTCGTCTTCTATGTTGACAGAATAATTACTTTACCAATTAATACCCGAAAAAGCAGATATAAGCATTAATGTAAGGTAAAGAGACCAAGACTTGGGAAATAAATAGGAGAATAGTGTAACGATCCATGCATGACTTCAAAGTGGAGAGCTCACATCATATCAAACTGCATGTCCTCTCAGCTAGCTGCACCTCTTAAAATTATAGGGTGACCTTACAACTACAAAGTCTGTGTACACTTGTGTCCGAGGATGAAGTTCAACAAAGTCAAACTTTAGCAAATGATGTTATGTGGGGTTAATACGAAAATGTTATGTGAGATAATTTCAGTTGTTGGTAGATAAATTAATTGTGATAAGATATAAGAGAAAAAATATATTAGAATATACATAAATTTGTCCTTAAATAACTTAACTTTTTTTAGATATAATGATCATGTTAAATAATACATGAGAAATTCATATCCTACTTGGCTATAAAAAGTATAAATGGAACCTTAAAAAAAGAAAGAAAGAAAATATTAGGAAAATGTAAATTAAAAATGTTTACTGGTTAGTTTGAGTTAGGTTTGGGATTACAAAAATAAATATTTAAATTTAATTAAGTTAGTCTGGTTTAGTTTTTGAAATATTTATAAGCGGTCAGAAATAAACTAATCCAATAGGTTGGTGCGATTTTAATCATTGGATTAAAATAAAAAGATAATTTTTTTTAGGATTTTAGCTACATATATCTATAATTTTCTTTCATTCTAAAATTTTGAAAATAATTATTAGTTGTATGGTAAAATACTAACTTCTTGCTTATCATTAATCCGAAGGAGTAGTTAAATCAATTATATAGATTGATATTATCTAAAATATAATAGCAAAGTTGGATAACAAAAATAATTTAAGTAATGATTTGGACACAGGGTGAGAATGTCAGAATAAATAAAAAATAATTGTAGAAGAAAATGAAGACCAAATTATTAAAGTTTAAAAGGACGATTTTTAAAAGCTTAGAAACTGAAAAAAGAAATCAATCAGATTAGGACTTTGAGACTCAAAATTTGAGAACCAAACCAGTATTGGTTTGGATTTAACACGAACTTTACTCAGTTAATTGAAGGAACAGTAACACGAAATTAAGATAAGTGATTCGAATAAATAAAAAATTAGGTTATTTTTTTTCTTTTAATTGCAATCATGAGGTTAATGGGTTTTGAACATATGGATAAATCACCAATAGAAATTCAACATATAATATGGAAGGAAATTGAATAATGCAGTAGGACCATGCAATTGTAACTTTAATGGTCCAACAAGAAAATGGGTGGGTTTGTGAAAAACATCCATTATATCCCACTTGCTCAGTTGCACAATAATCAACAGCCAAATATTCTATTACACCTTGATTTATTTTATTTTAATTTTTTTCTTAGTGGGGTAGGCAAGCAAAAAAAAAAAGGATATTATATTTACTCTACCTATTCATTTTTAATACTAATTATATTAGAATCTTAACTAATATTTTTAATTTCTCTCTTTTCTTGAGATTATGATATAAGATATGAGTAGACAGCATATGCATGAAAATAAATAGACATAATATCCTATTCTAGTAATATATATAAGAAAACAAGGAAAATGACAGCAACTATCTTATTGCAGCTATAGGAAAATGTTTGAATAGAGATAGATTTAAAAAATATCAGTGCATTGTTTATCCTCTACATAAACATGCAGCAATGCATTTGATTTCGGTTAGAATGGCACCATAGACTATTAAACTAGCATGAACCATGCATAATAATCCCACAAATCTTATTCTATTGCGGTTTCTAAAGAACTATAATAAGTATTAAACATGTTTGGCTAAGAATACTATTTCGAATTTGTAAATTTCTGTTTAAAATATTTTTAAAAATATTAAAGCCCGTTTATATTTAGGGTCGTTGGTTTTTCTTTTTAAAAATGGAAGTACTTTTTTTAATTAAAAACATGTTTAATATTTTTTATGATAATTAAGATTTTTTTAGAAACAACCCAAAATGAACAATTTAAATGCTTTATTCAGTAGTTCGAAAAAGTAGCTTATGAAAACAAAATTTAAAAGTTATATCATAAAAATATTTTTCTTTAGAGTATGTGCAAACACACTCTTACATTAAAATAATGTTTTAATGTACAAAAAAAAAAATAATGTTTTTTTAACATGACCAGAAGGAGCAGAAAATTCACATGTACTATAGAAGAAAATGGAAATTTTTTAAGGTTGGCTTTAAAATCTCATGTCCCAATTTAGAGGATAATAACGGGGTAACTGGGTGGGTTTGTTAAAAATGTCTATGGTTCCCACTTGCCTAATAATACAACACTTGTGTTATGATACATTTGCTGGTTGAGATTCGAGGATTCTTGATTAAATTTTGCTTTTCTTCCTTTGGCTTTTGTAATTGCTTGACCACATGCAATACGCAAGTTTTGATTCGATGAAAAATCATTGTCACTGGGACAATGACACTTACAAATTTAATCCAAAACGAACAGATGCAAACTCCGCGTAGATAGCAATAGTTAGGCAGTTTGAGAGAATGATAAGTGGAAGCCTCATAATGTCATGATAGTGATGTTGAAAGAGAACGTAGCACTTACCCTGGTGGAGGTTTCCCCAAAATTGATCACAAAAATTCATTGAAGATGCCAACAGCAGCTTCCACACAAAGATGTCCTATGCTTTAAATTTTTTATTTTTTGGTGACTATGCTTTGAATTTAACTCCTATAGAAGTTTTCTGCATTTAGCTTGTTATTAGGGGAGTTAACGAGCTGAGCTTTGGTCTTAAAAGACTAAGCCTGTGTTTAAATGTGTCAGTCTGATCAAGCATGTTACTTGTTATAAATATAATTATTGGACTGTGACCTGATTTATTTACAAAAAATAAGAGCCTTGTTTAGCCCGTTGGCCTGTTTAAAAAATATAAGACAATAAAAATTTGTCCAAACATAATCTACATTCAACAGCATTAGTAATTTCATAAATATTCATAAATTTAATGTATATCTAAACAGCATAATATAGAACAAAATAATTTGTTTAACCAATAAAATAGGGTGAAATAGATTGAGGAGAGAGTGAGGGCTACTAAAAATAGTATAAAAATATAAAATAAAAATTAATATACTACGTCAGTCTGAGAGGCTCTAAGTCCGAGCTTTTGAATTGAAGTCTGAGGCCTTTTTATTAAACGAGCTTTAATACAAGTCCAAACCTGCTTCCAACAATCAATTTTAGATATATAAGTCCAGGTCTTCACGAGCCGAGCTAAAGGCTCCTGAAAGACCCTTAATTTATTTAGCACCCCTACTTGTTACCCTAAGAAGAAAATATATTAGTCTGTTGTAAATAATTTTCCAAATGATTGGTAAACCTTGGTCAGTTTGTAAATTCAATACTTTAACAAAAGCAAATCCACACCCTATACTAAGAAATAAAATTTTAGTTGATATTTGATTTGTCTTTGTACAAGAAAATGCACTCCTCAAGTTTATGGTCTAAATGCGTTAGACGATCATTCAGGAGCCAACGGCTCGATTTACATTTGGCCTATAACACTAATTTAACAAAATTTGGTCTACAAGTTTACAGGTCAGTCTATATTGTATTATGTGATGGGTTATTCTATCTATCTTTTTCTGTCTATTTTTTTCTATCACTCTCCAACATTGTTAGATCAGAATCTAAAGAGGAGAGAAAAAGATAAATGTTAATTAAGATTCTGATCTAATGATCTTTTAGAGTGATAGGCAAAAGTAGGCAGAAAAAAGGGAGGTAGAATAACTTATCCCTTGTATTATTTATTTTAATTAATATAAAATAAAACAATTATTTATATAATTTTAATTAATAAAAAATTATCATATATATATATATAGAAGGATATTGTAACAACCAATTAGTATTACTACCAATCAATTTCATCGTTAGATCGATTATGTTGATCCAACGGTTATATTTATTTTCATCTTTGCATGGTTATGATTTCTCATATTTAATACTTTATATTTATTTCCACCTTTGTATGGTTATGATTTCTCATATTTAATGCTTTCACATTAAATATGAGTAATCATATCCATACAGAGATGAAAATAAATATAACCGTTGGATCAACATAATCGATCTAACGATGAAATTGATTGGTAATAACACAAATTGATTGTTACAATACCTTACCCCTATATATATATATATATATATATATATATATATATAATTTGATACTTATTGAAGACTTGATTGGTCAAATAGTCTAATATAGGTCTAAGTAGATATGGCAAAATGGGTCAACCCGACTCGACCCAACCCAAACTATTTGCAACCCGAAAAAAGAGCTGGGTTGGGGTTGGCTAAAAAAAAAATGAGCCAGAAAAACTAACCCGTCCTGAGCCAAGTTAGGGTTGACTCATGAGTTGGCTCGAAAAATTGGGGGGAAAAATAGCCTAAAAAAATGAAAAAACATGATAATTGAAGTAAGATAAAAAATAATATTAAAGCTTAAAAAACGAATACAATATAAGATAATTAAAATTTCTAAACATAAACTTATATTATAAAAAAAAGTTTTCACTTTCTTTTTTTGGAGTTACCCAACCCTAATTATCTCTTTGAGACGAGTTGGCTTCCTCCGGTATCCCCACGAGCTTCGACTCTTTGAGCCGGCTATGAGACTAATCCAGAGTGCGGGGGAACAGTGATGGCTAAAGGTTCAGCCCCCTCCCCAAGAATGCATTCAGCGGGAATCGAACACATATCCAACCCCAAGTTTTCACTTTCTTTGAACAGATCTGCCTCCCTCATTATTTTTTTAATAAATAAAAAAAGATAATCTGCGAGCTAATCCGTTTGACCCTCGAGATGGCTCGGCTTTTTTCGAGTTGTCTATGGTTGTCGGCTTATTTTTGCCAACACAACCCAGCTCATTTTATACAGGTTATTTGGCTCATTTTTGCCGTCCCTAAATCTAAGCCGTGCCTTTTGATTTTTAGATATAAACCAAGCCAAATCTACAATATAGCATGTTCTAGACAAATAAATCAAGTCAGACTTAAAATATTTTACATAAACATAACCAAAGCCTACTCTAGTCCAATGCATTTATACCCCTACTCAAATCAAAAGGATGCATGGGAAAGCAAAGAATCTTGAAATCCCAAACACAAAAGTCACCTCTTCACTGTCCTGCAAAACCCTATTTCCCATAACTCTCCAACAGGTCCAACACAGATGACCCAACATGTCCAGGGATCTAGCAACAAAACAAGCCTAATTCTCACTATTGGCGCCATCATGTTCTTTTGGACCCGGATTTAAAGAACTACATTCATGAACCCCTTAGATACCTTTATTTCATGGCTATTACACTGAAGAATACATGTTCCTAACTTTTTTGCAACGAGGGGTTTACCACTTTTACCACCACCTTCTTTCTCCCAAGAGATGATGAGAAGATGCCAAGATTTTTACCTCTATTTTTTGTCTTTATTTTATTCATGTGCTTGACATTAATCTGGAATCTTGATTATAATCAATATCCAGCTAAGTCCCAACTCATAATTTGGGTACGTGTTTTCGCTGTCACCAATTAATAATAGAAAGTCACCCCATTGCGATCCTTTTCTCGTGCATTTAGTCTTTCTTCAACCACTAGGTGCCTTTGCCAGAGCCCCACACAGACTCACTGTGGCTACAGTCTAAAGCCATTTGAACCTATCATCCCAACCACCGCGATGGTAAAGAGAGAAAAGAAAAAAGACAATGAAGAAAAGCATTCAGATCATGCTATATTAAAAGCATCATTACAGCATCCCACCACCACCGCCATAACATAAAACGCACTCCAGCTTATCATCTGTTCAACCATTAATTACTATGTTCTCCCAAAAATCTTTAAATAGGAAGGTTGAAAAGAAATTATTGGAGATAATATTAGAGAGCTCAGGAACTGAACAAATAGACAATATTCAATGAAACTGATTTCACTGTAGTTGCAAATTCGTCGAACGAAAGATATCGATATTGGAAGATATAAGCTATTAATGTACACAATTCTTTTCCTTCTTCTTTTTTTAATAGTGATGCGACACTTCAAAAAACAAGTTAACACTAACATTTTAGTATGACGAAAATAGCATGTGAACAATAATTTGTTTGTGTTGCAACGTTGATATCCATGTGGTGTCCCATGGAAATTATGTAAGTGCTTACAACCTTCTTATAAATGAAAATGGCCTTTTAACAACCATACTAATGGAATAGACCCCACTTAAACAGCACTTGTATAGTCTTACATTGTGGCGCTAATTAATGACATCTCGCATCTTAACAATCAGAGTTTCTGAAGACATGGGCAAAAAACACCCAAGAACTACTAACAAATCATGTAACTATTTTGGGTAAGAGAGTACTTCAATTAGCACCAGACATGGGTGTGACAATGCTTTCAGTGGCTCAGACCTCTACCAAGCCACCTATCCTCCTATTTCACTTTTAGGAGTAATTGTTAGGTACTTGCATCTTCAGTACAACCCAAAAAAAGTATGATTAGGACTAATTACTGATTGATGTATGAAAATAATCAACAATTATCAGGAACGGGAAATTAACTGAGTACATAAACTGGAAACCAAGAAAACAAACGAAAAAACTATTTGCTACAAACTCAAGTTGGTCATTTGCCTCTAGATTAATAGATTGAATTCTCTGCAATAGGCATATAGGAGTATAGGAAAATAACATCAAGTCTCACAAATCACCGTTATTCTCCAATAATGGCAATGATCAACACCATCCTATCCAGAGGACAGGAACATAAAGAAAACTGTCACTATCTTTCAAGTGAGCCCCAACATTTAAATTTCCATACACTGAAACCAATTTTTTAGTAACAAAATGGAACAATCAAATTATCTTCAGAGATAATAAAATAAGAGATTACTAAATCCATACACCAATTTCTATATCTAAAAAACGCAAAAGAAGAGGCTCGTGTAACAAATATCGTTGATTTAAAGACATGATTTCAACTTTAGTTGCAACTGTCACGAGGGAAGAAATTTGAAACACAGTAATTTTCTCTATTGTCTGAGGTAAAAAAAAAATAAGAGGGGGAAGAAAACTTTGAAGAAGAAACATGTAGAAGGTCAAAAGAAAAACAATAATGTTACAGAAGAAGTATAGGATTTCACCTATCAAGCAATCACCACCATTGATGAACAAGAACTCCACTTCGTCTAAGAGAATTGAAGAGCTCCAAGCATTGGTCATATGTTTTCTCATATTTTGAACTCCTCTGCCCAGGGCAACATCTCTGCCACCTATTATAATGGCATTCAAGGAAAATCTCGTCTACCAAACAGATAGCCCCAGTTTCAAACAACCTCGGAATCAGATCAAATTCAGTACCCTCCACATCCATTTTCATCACAACAAAATCATTCTTCGAAACAGTGTTCTTCAACCAGTTAGCAAAATCAAATCCCCTTATCTTTTCCACTTCACCATCAAACTCCCCAGAAGACTGCAAAGGTTGAATCCTACCCATTCCCCTCCCTTTAACCTCAACGTGCTCCCCGGGGTCGCGATGAATCTCAAACGCCAAGGTCTCATTCTTCAACCACGCAGCGTAAGGAACCAAAGTGACCCCCTTCTTCAATCCATACTCCTGATGAAATGTCTTGTCAGCTTCAATTGCATAAACATGAAATGTCTTGTTCTGCTTAGGATACTGTTTCCTAAACCATGACCCTATGCTAGAGCCATAGCTTCTAGCTCCAACATCAACATACAAATACCTATCCTTAAAGTTTATATTAGCCATTGAAGTAAGGTACTTTATGTTCTTTGCATTCCTTTTCAAAGTAATCCATGGCTTCAATGGCTCCTCTACAATCAAAGGCTCAGCATTCCTAACCAAATCATGCTTATACCCAGGAACATAACACTTTCCATTTGAATCTTCAACATCAAATTTACCAGCACCAGCACCACACTCATTTTTCAAAACAATTTCATGTATATAAGGCATTGATAAGTCAAACCCTTCTATGCCATGCAACTTCACTACTCTGAAACAATTGAATAAATCAAGGAATGAATTAAAACTATACGTATCTTTAGGTTTTGTAAAATGGAACACCGCGAACCCTCCGTGTTTCAGGGTCCTGGCTATTTCCGCGGCGAATGCCGATGGTTTCGCCGACCTCTCGAATATTCCCTCGCCGGCGAACACGAAGTCGAAGGTGCCATCGCCGAACGGAATCCGGTCTACCCTCCCGAACTTTACCAGCGGCTTCGCCGCCTTCCTCGCTATCCCGATGGCGTCTCGGACGCCGATCTCCCTCAGCGCGAAGACGTCGCGCCCGGTCGGAGTCTCCACGCACAGCGACTTCGACTCCGGCGAGAGGAAACCGCCGGCGACAAGATCCTGGAACACGGACGAGTAGAAACGGACGCCGTTGATCCAGTCCTTGCTGGTGTAAACCTCCGGCAGCGCGGAACCACCGCCGGAATCAGACTCAACGGCGAGGTGGCCGGAATCGGCGCCAGCGATGGCGAGGCTGAGAGTTTCCGGCAGAGAGAAGAAGCAGAAATCGCCGACGTTGCAGGACTCGCCGGCGACGGCAATGACGTAAGCGAAACGGACGCCAATGATGAAAACGCCTAAGATGAGTAACCGTATAAGATAGTTCCGGAGAGAGCCGGGCTTGCCTGCGGCAGGTTCCATGGTAGTCACTGTGCACCTCTTTCTATCTTCACAGAAAAATTAATAATTAAAAAAATGGTGAAAATTAAAATAAATGACGAGAAATTTGATTTTTGATTATCGGGAGCAGAATCGTGCTGATGTGTGGTTGCCACCGATTAGGGGTTTTGGTTCAGTGGTAGTGATTGGGAAAAAGCGAGGGGCAAAACGGGAATTCATGGTTTCTTAAAGAATAAGAGAAGAGAATGCAGTTTTGTGTGTGTGTGAGTGTATGTTTATGGAGAAGAGAAGAGCGAGTTCATGACTCGGTGGATGTAACTCAGCAATGGTGGCGTAGTGGGTTTAGCAGAGAAAGCGAGATAAAGAGGATTGTAGTGGGGTAGAGTGGTAACCGGAATAACCGGTTGCACTGGGAAAGCAAAAAGCGTAGCGGATTAGGCTGCGTGGATAAGGAAAGTGGCAGTAGCCAGTTGTCTCGTTTCCTGTTTTATTCGAAATTGGACCCCAGAGTTTCTTAAATTACAAGGATGCTTCAATATTTTGTGCCTCAATAGTCAATAACTCAATATGCCTCAAAAGATACGTTGAAAATTTTATGGAATTATATTTAGAAATTAATGTTTATTATGTTGTAAATTGTATCTTGTAAAAGTGTGTAAAATTATGTGAAATTATATGAAGAAAAGAGAAAATAAAAATATGAATTTTATGTATTTGTAGAAGATAGAATTATCTTTTATAATATAAGAAATATTAATCTCTCATATTTATTTAGTGTGCTTTGTTTTTCTTGCTTGTGAATTGTAATTTTTAATTATTAATTTTTTTGTAAATAAACTTAGATATATCTTTTATGGGAGTAATCATATTCGGACGGATCATGATTAAGATTTTAAACTTTTCTAAAATGATATTGGGAGATTGAATATATATTCTCACATCCACCCGCTCAGCTCTTATATATAAATAGAGTTTGCATTTGTCATTTAACATGACACAACAAACTTTTCTACACATACAACATTTTGTTGGCGCACACTCTTTGAAGAAAAAAATTACGGCACGCAAAACGAATCTCTATAACATTACACAATCACTTTTCCTACAACATAACTCTTATAAAATTTATAATAATAATAATAATAATAATATTGCGCCGTTTTAGGGTATAATATGCCAATTGCGAAAGGTGATTAGTTCCGAAAGAAGAAACCCTGAGGGATGGGGTTCACACTTCAGAGTGTCAGTATGTGAAAAGAAAGTGCAGGTACCCCTGACCTGTTGGGAGTTGGGTCATTCCACGCACGCTAAACCAATTGTTTTTTTCTGTATGTCTCTGTGATATTCTGGTTCCTTCTGCATTCCCATGTTTCCTTTTTCAAGTAGAAATAAATCAGTTACTTTTATCTTATTCATTTAATTATTAAAAAATAATTTTTTCATTTTACATAAAAATATATTTTTATACTACACACATAATATATGAATGGATTTCATCTTGATCTTTTTATCTTCTTATTTTTTTTGACCTCACTCATGTATTGTGTGTATAGCATTTTTTCATGTAAAACAAGAAGATCATTCCCTTAATTATTATATAATATTTTAATAAATATTAAAGATTATGATCATTTTATATCAGTATAAGTTACACTCTCAATCTTGATCATTGATTATATTTATATTTAACAATTTTAATTTATTAAATATTTGAGCCGTTAAAAACAAGTAAATTAAATGTAAGGAAATAACCATTTTTTTTCCAAAAAAAAAATCCTCTTAACAAAAAATTTAATTATAAACTAGTCCAAACACACAGTATATTTTTATAATTTAATCAAAGTATAATTTAATTATAAATTAATCAAATTATAATTTTTATAAGAGAACAAAGTATTTAATGTTACTTTTGGAAGATTAAAAAAATAGAATGATATAGACTATTATAACCCTGAAATAAATTAAAATTACAAACACACCGTGATTTTCACCCCAACACGATGTTATTTTGATGAACATTAGACAAATTTTTTTAAAGTAATATTAAAAAAAATGGTACAAATAAATTTTCCTTTTGAGTATGAAAAATTGTAATAATAAAATTTATTTAACTATTATTAGCTCGTAATATAATACAAAGTTAGAAATGGCAATAGCTAGTCATAAGAAAACAAGAGCAATAAGAAATCATAATGGGAAAGGAGGTTCCCACTAAACCCTTACTGAGGGGGCCTTTGATATGAAGAGTTAATTGTAAGTCATCGTCCGAATTTGGATTCCCATCAAAAGTAAAGTTGAATACCCACTTACAAAAGAGGTTCCAAAAGGTTTTGACTTTTGAGACCCTAGTTGGGTATGCACTAAAAAAAAGTAACACAAAATCCTATTTACCAAAAAAAAAAAAAGTAACACAATATCCAAAATAAAATGTCACGTTACGAGCTTAATTTTGATCCTTATTAGTTAAGTGAGAGCGAAAATCTGGCACAAGATTGTTACACTTGCCAATAATTAGAGAAATGGAAGTCAGAAACTTCAACTTAAAAAGTTTCATTATTAACCACCAAATCAACTAATAAAGAGTTATTTTAGTTCAATTAGTGATTTTAAATTTGAGCCTCCGAGAACGTAATTGTATTAAAAATTTAATAGGACGAAATTTACTGCTCATATAATTCTATCTGGTCAAATTGGGCTAACCGAATTGTCAATTAACATATTGATGATATATAAAAAAAAACTTAATGTTTTTATAATTAATATAGATAAGTTATTTATATTCACTCTTAAAATGATGTTATTTTGAGTTGAAAGATTAAAAAATTATAATAAGAAAGACTATTATAAATCTGAAATAAATTATAATTACAAAAATATCTTAATTTTTACTTTAAAAATGATATCATTTTAATCTTACTGCAAAAAAAATAAACTCATAAAAAATTTATTATGACCCATTTTAAAATTTAGAGATCACGTGACCGAGTCACAGGCTATTGGTTGGTGGTGTCACGGGTTAAAGACGCGTGTGACAACTGACAAGGGAATGAATCAATCAGAACGAATAAATTTTTGGTGTTACTGTTGCATCAAAGATTCAGTATATCTCATCAATAAAAATACTACATGTCAATTAAATTTTTTTTTTCTCTGCCAAATTTTTTCTCTCTCCTATGATGTGTAATACTTTCATTGATAAGATGTACTGAATCTTGATGCATCAATAGCACGAAAGATTTATTTCAACATAACAAAGACTGTGACTTAGCCGTTGCATAAATGAAATGCCTAAAACACCCCTTCTTCCTCCAGCGCACGGCACGTCGTTTGGGTTTGTGCCCTATGCTTTGGATTGGGTCTGCAAAACGGTGCTCATCGGAAGGGCAGATGAGGAGAGCGACGACACACCCTTCACGTGTGTTTCGTTTTGAAAAGAGATTGGTTGTTGTACGACCAATGTCCAATGGAATGGATCAGTTCAGTGTTCAGAGCTACTTGGGTAAACAAAAAGAAAAAATTAATTTATATAAGAGGGAATACATTTCTCGTATAATATTAAAGAAAATTGTCTTGATACATAATTATTAGTATCATTAAAATTCATACGATATAATACGATTCACAGACGTTGCGAATCGTATAATGAGATATATTGAAAAGTGTATAAGATGATATTGTGTATTATATGATAAAAAAGTTAATCAAAATTTATAATTATATATATAAAAAAAGAAATAAAAATTTCGTTTTATAATTTAAATTAAAAAAATCTAAACAATTATTATTAATAAGTAAAAGAAAATAAAGATTTGATTTGTATTCTAAACTCAAAAGTCAATATGAAAAATCTACATTAACAAAGAAAATAATTAAATAAATATTTTAGCATATATTTATAAATTATTTTTTATTATTTTACAATTGGATATGATTGACAATACACAATATAAAAAAATGGATTCGTTTTTTCTGCAATCATTATAGATAACTTACCTACATTTCTAAAACAACATCGTTTTAGGACGGAAATCAAGGTATTTTTGTAACTATAATTTATTTAAAGGTTATAATAGTCTTTCTACTTATAATTTTTTAATCTTTCAACTCAAAACGACGTCGTTTTGAAAGTGAATGTAGATAACTTATCTACATTCACTGTAGAAACGTTAAAGTCATAAAAAAATAGGTCAAATGACACATGATAGGTACTCCGATTCAACAACCTTGGTCTCATGGACACATAGAAGTGTGAGTATTGAGTGAGACATATTAAGGGAAAAAGAAAGAGAAGATAAAAGTGAATCTCACCCCTTTTTTTTCGTGTGAATGAGATAAAATATTCTCATACAATACGAGAAATATATTTCATTTTAAATTTTCTTTATTTTGAAGATAAAAATATTTATTTATATAATACAAATTAAACTATATAAACTTAAATTTGTTCAAAAAAACTATATAAACTTAAATATTTTTTACATTAAAAAATGATTTTATATTTATATCAAATCACGCATATTCACGCATATTCGTTAAGCCAGACGCAAGTCAAAAAATCACTTATGTATACATCTATATATTAATAAATAAAAAATGTAATCAAAAATTTAGTTTAACTGATATTATCCGTTTATTTGTATTTTTAAATTAACTAAAAATATGTATAAAAAATAGGGTCTAATGTTTTTCTTGCAAGTTAAAAATAATTTTATCCCCTCCAATAACATGAAAGTAGATGGAGCCAATAGGAGAGAAAGAGAAAAAGTGAAGTCCATCGCAAAAGATAAAATTATATCTAATTTGCAGAAAAAAATATTAATTCCTAAAAATAAGATAAATATATAAACTACAAAAGGTCTATATATAATGCATACAAAAATTGTTTTAATACTTTTTTTCGTAAGTTAGAAAAAAAACTTCGGAAAAAAGTTGTATTGTAAAATTAATTTTTTGAAATATTATTCAAATGCATTTTAAGTTTTTTTGTTAAATTAGAAAAACTAGCACGTTAAATAAACAAAAAAAGCTGTTTGAGTGGGTGTAAGTTTAGGGAGAATGTGATATATTCAAGTATGGATGCATTTTTCACGTTTGGCTGTTAATATAATTTATACTATTTTTAAAAACTACAAAAATATAATTATGTAATATATATTGTGGTATTTTCAAAATTATATAAATCTGCTGCTATGTGATGGAAATGAATGGTTGCTGTGGTGGAAATGAAACGCTTTCTCTCGGAGGGGCATATGAGCCTGTTTGGATGGGCTTTTTTTTTCTTTAAAAGCTGTTTTTTTTAATAAAAAAAAGCAC